GGGGGTGGGGCGACAGCCGCAGGGGTAGGGGCCGGGGCAGGGGCAGGGGCCGGGGCCGGGGCAGGGGCAGGGGCCGGGGCCGGGGCAGGGGCAGCGGCTGGCGCCGCGGGCTGCGCCGGCGGCGACACCCCCAGGGGGCACACTGCGAGCCTCTTGCCCGCAAGGGGGCTGTCCAGGTCCCTCAGTGTGTTCAGGTTGTCCAGCAGCAGCTTCTCAAGCGGTACACCCACGCGGTCAGCCAAACCAGACAGGTAGTCACCGGCCACCGCCTGTCGGGGAGATGCAACCAGTGGGTGCGCTTCGTGGCCGACGGGCGCTTGCGAGTTTGCGTCAGACAAGCCCTGCGCATTGCGTTGCACCCAGCAGCCACGGCCCCAGCAGCCATCCGCCCACCAGGTAATAGCTGCAGCCCTTTGGCAGGTTGGGCGCAGCCGCCAGCTTGGGAGGAGGTCGCCTGGGGGCTCCAGGGGACGGCCTGAACACGACCCCAAAAGTGTCCACAGGGCTCAGGACGTTCGCCGCTCCGAACGCGACCTGTGCGGGCCAAATGCGGACGGGCGTGTGAGTGTCTATATCATGTCAGGTGAGACTTGTGGATTGTCTCCTGGTCCTACACCTGGGCGACCCGGGAGGCAAGCATCAAGACCGGCTTTGCACGCAACAAATATACCACAATCAAATGTACCACCTGCGAAGTCGGTTATGAGGCCAGGATTGCCCTGCCTGAATAGCTGGAAGCTGAGCGACCTCATTAGCTCGCACAACTGTTTGTGCGTGTGAACCCTAAGGCGCTCGCGTGGCTGCGCTGGGAGCCCCGCACGAGGAGCGCTGTCGTGCTTTGTAGCGGGCGCCAACTTGGGGCCTTGCATGCTTGTGGGGGTGAGAGCACATTGCCGTGGAGCCCGTTCGCTTGACCAAACTCATGCCTACCTTAAAGTTGCCGTCTTGAGCAAAATCTGGGAAGGAAGCATGGGATTGCATGCATGGGTCATGTTTGAAAATGCATACTTGCCTTTCAGTTGAACACACCTTGTGCATCACACACCTCACCCCAGCCAGCTGTTCAGCACCCGCCAAGGCCGCACCGGGGCCCCACGAGTTGCGCGCAATCCAGAACTTATTGACGTTGTCATACCTGGTGGGGGTGGTGGGGGTAAGCGAGCAAGTAGTGCTGCTGTGACCCGACTGGCCACTAGATATGGCCAGGCCGACTCTGGAATAGCATCATCAAGCATAAATAGACATTGCTGCAGAAGGGCAGCCCTATGCATCCATTGTCAAACATTCATCGCACCCAACAAGCAGGATGGCATGGGCCTGTTCATATTTGCTGCCGAACGAGGGGCTGTAGACTGCCCCGATGTTGGTGTAGTCCGCAAAAAATCCTTGAAGTCGCTGTGTGGCCCCGCCAAAAAACACATGGGCGACACGCAGCAGGGGTGACGTCGGCCGTACGCTGCAGAACGCACATGCACATGCCATGCCAGTATACACATGCGCTCGCACCCCTTGTCTGCTCAAAGTGCGTGTTTTTACCATGTACCACCCCCCCCCCCCCAAAAACGGCGAATTACCTGTAAATATCAAAGCGTGTTGCCTGAAGAGCAAAAAGCAAGGACCATGAGGAGGTGGGCAAGAGAGGAGAAAGTCTGGCGCTGCATGCGCCCGTGCAGGCATGGCGGCACCCTTGTTGAGTGCGTGTGAGTGCGTGCTCCAGAGCATGATATGGACAAGGTCACATATGTACAGGCGCATGCTCGCACGCAATCGTGTGTTTTGTGTGTGTGAATGTGTGTGCACGTGGGTGCATGCGTGTATGTGCACGTGAGTGCGTGTGTGCAAACGCACGCACGCAAATGCATGCACGCACGTGTGTGCGTGCACACACACACACACACACACACACACACACACACACACACACACACACACACACACACACACACACACACACACACACACACACACACACACACACACACACACACCACACACACACAC